AAAGAGCAGCACAGTGGGTCATTTGAACAATCCACATGCCATTTTAATCCATTTTTAGTGTAAGGGCAGATAACAGACACTTCAGACAAAGATACATTCTTTGTATTTGCCAATACATTTTATTTTAGCCTAAATACATGTATTAGGTTCTCCAGCTAGCTAGATTTCCTCACACTCAGCCTACTGAAGTCTTACTCACAGGCTCAGTCTCCAGTGCCCTTAAAGACTTCTCTGATGATTCAGAAGGAGGCTAGGGAATAAGACTGATGTCTTTGAAATGGTTAAGGCATGTAATTGCACTGTCAATCTCTGAGATAGAGATTTTAGCATTATTATTAGCACACATCTGTTTCAAGGCTGCAGAAGGAAGACTCAATAGAAGAGTTCTATAACAAGCATTTGCTGGTGGTGCTATCTCAGACCTGCCTTTCCTTACTTCAATCACTGATCCTGTTATTTTATTTTTTAATATAAGCACTATTTTACAAAGCTGCAAGCAGGTTTCCTAAAAGTTCTGTCACTTTGGACAATGAGGCTGCAATAACAATATTGCACCAATAGGAGGAACTTTGGTCTTATATGAAAACCAGATACTGAGGGTCAGAGAGAAGAACAAAGAGTAAAACCTGCTGTTAAGCAAGGGCTGACACACTGAAGATGTGAACACACTGAAGTTATGGTACAAGGAGAGAGAATATCTGTCATTTCAGATTCAGTAACTTACATGTCACAAGCAGAACAGTGGTGGCAGCGGTCAGGTTTGATGAGCTGGCATCGATCACAGTATCTGATTGCTGCATTCAAGTGGCAAGGGTCAAGTTATTAGAACTCATTTAGTGTTACAAAGGTTTTCCCCCTTAACATGAACTGTATCTTAAAAGAGATTCCTGCCCTCCCTTGCCACACGTGAGCTCACACACCTTCATGTACCTACTCTCATCTCATATGTACTTTTGAGTTTTTAAGCAACATAACATATTAAAGTATTTAAAACACTTTAATATATTACTGCTGTACTAAGTCAATTTCCATTTACTCTTGGGCTCCCCATTCTACCCATCCTCCATCCTCTGGCACTGACTCCCTTTTGCTTGCTTGCGTTCATCTCTGGACAGGGCACTCAGGCATGTAATTGTTAAACTACATTCTTTCAGCAAGCCACCTTTCTGCATTAGCTTTCTCTGTCCTCTTCAGGAAACAGTGATCCAGCAGACTGCTCAGTAAATTAGCTTTTTCTCATCTTTCCTGGGTATTTTTAAACAAGCCTTCAGGCTCTGCTTAATGGAAATAAGACACCAGCAAAGACAGTTTGAAAGGAGGAGGAAAGCCAACACCTACCACTAAGCAGAACTGCTAAGAGCTGGCAAGAGCATCACAGATCACTCCAGAAACTTAAGACTGGGATTCCCTTAAAGGGAGGCTTGGATAAAAAAACCTCAGGTGTTCTTAGACTTTGTTTGGAAAGTCACAGTAAACTTTGGTAAGCCCTTATTCTGAGTAGTTTATGTTTCGGAAAACTCTACAGGGTTGCTAGTTTCAAGAAAGTGAAACATATATATAAACACACACATACAAGCCAGGTTTTAAAAAAATAATATACATATGTATAAGACAGCAGTTTCACAGATCATTCATATATAAGTTGGAATAAAAATGCCTATACACATTAAACGCAAATACAGAAATAGCCCATAACTTTGTGCTGAATTACAGATGGGAACGAAACATTTCTTCGTTCTTAAATTCCAGCCTTAAGTACAATGCTTCTCCTCTTGCTGAACTGATATAACTCAGAAAAAAAAAGTTGAAATGTTGATATAAATGATTGTAAAACTGAGTAAAAAGTTTTGTTTTCTCTGTTTTTGGTGTATTGGCTATTTTTCTTTGCTGTGTGGTTTTTTTTTTTATAGCCACAATTAGAGAGAAATGTTGTCATCTATCTGATTGCTCAAGAAAGATTTGGTTTTTTTTAAAATTCCAAATATTGGCTACATGTTGAGATTCCCAGACAAAGGACTCCAGTTTCTCTTGGGGAAAAAAAACAACAACCCAAACAAGTAACAAAACAAGGTCACGGACTTTGCAGTATGTGTTTTAGAGGTTGTTCATTCAGTGACATCAAATTAATTTCACTAAATTAAACTAGCAGCTTCAGGAGTGCAGAATTATCTTTAAATCTCACCTCGAGATGCTGTTGTTGTATAGATAGGCAAGTCTTTAGCAGCTCTTCTCAAAATCTCCTGCTGCGATTCTGGCCTCTCTTCTTTTTCATACTGTTCTTTATCAGCTTTTGACAAGCAGAACTAGGAGGGAGGGAAAAAATGGGACAACGGAAGAGATTAATTGTTACTTTGTGTTCTAGTCAAGCTTCAAGGAAAAGACCCTACATATCCTAATCCTTTGTCTTTGGAGAACCCCCACTCAGCAACCTGAAACAAACCAACAGAACACTTAAAGAAAAAAGAACGATACAGGAATTACAGGAGATACTTAAAACTCCATTATGATACTGGGCATATTTTAAAGAAAATAGTATTTTTTCTCTGTTCCATTATCTGTAGTATTTTTCCTTTAACATAAAGGAAGGCATAAAGTAAGTGATCTGTAAACAAGAGGAAGAGGCAACAGTCCTTTGCTGCTACAGGGCACTGAAGTTCTCTTACCCACTTCCTCTCTCTGAGACGGGTGAAAGCCAGAGGGGGGGAAAAGAAGGGGGAGAGGCTTCAGGTCTTCAGTACAGAAGCTAAAAGAGTTTAACTGGAATTTTTACTTGTGAGTAGTCAGCACTAGTCCCAAAATCCGTGAGTTGTATTAGGAGAAACTTCAGCAAAGCATGTACAGTTTGAGGGAGTTATAATTCTGAGTAAAGCATGAGAAGCATTCCTGTTGAAGCCTTACTGAAATGTAAAGCTTTACCAGAAGAACCTGGAGAGCTTCTACTCACTTGTGAAACACTTAGTTTGGCATCCTCTGAAATTAAGTGCTTTTCCATTAAGGCCCACAAACCCCAGTGTGCTCACAAGCCCCTGTGGAGTTGGGGCTGAACTCACTATTTCCTTTGGTAATTTTCTGTTCTGAAGCACTTTTAAACTCTGGGCTTCCCACATGGACTACAATAGCCCTTTTTATGAGCACACATAGACAAAGTATTCGTAGTAGTGAGTGGAAAATTCTTTGTATGCAAGTGGAACAAAAATTGGCACAGTGTGGTTTAATATGACTGTATTTTCCTACCAAGAACATATGTATGATTAGTTCACATAGATATCCCTCTCATCCTGTACTTTTTCCTCTTTAGGATTACAGTCAGTTGGAAAGCAAAAATGAAGACTCCACTTATAAAAAGGAGGAAACAGTAAGACACTACTGCAATTTATGTTATTTCCTAAGCCAGAATGCAAGTAAGTTGCCTCATATCTCACAGAATCTAGTGAAGTCTCCTTGTCACATGCAGTATCATCCCAGTTACTGAGCCCACCCACGACTCAAGGGTGAAACATGAAACATAATCCTATTTTCAATAATCAGCAACTGGGATCCATCCATGCAGAGAGTGAAATTGAAGTTTACATTGCAGTCATCACCAAGATTTTGACCTCATTTTTAAAATATCCATCTCTAAGCTAGGTATTTACTCAAATATGAAAACTGGAGAAATTTGCACCAAAATGCATCATTAATGCACAGAAAGGGGACTAAATCACAAGATTAAAAACGTTTTTAATTTGTTCAAGTATCAATGTAATATTACTACAAAAATCCTGGATAGGAATTTTGTTTTCCTAGGAGCTGTATTTCAGTTCTAATTTCAGAAATTAAAAAGGGCCATGAGACCACAGTCTCTTTGGACAATGGCAGGATATGTTCAGACACATCAAAAGTTGTCTGTTACCACACAGCTAACAGAATTTCCAGTGAGGTTCCAGCAGTTCTTACTGAAAACAGAAAGAGTCCCTTTGTTTCCTTCCTCTTTCTGGATCTTGTATAATGCTGATTGTTCTTTCTTATGAAAAAAGCACAGGGATTACACCAAGACAACAGCAGCTGCAGAATCTTTTTTTAGTTCAACAGTAAGATCACAGGATGCTATTTGTTTTGCAAGAATGGTTAATTTGAATGACTAAAAACATATACATTTACACTCTCATACAATGGGGGAGATTCTGAAATAAAGTAAAACCAGCAAAAATTGCTCACTGGTACATGAAAACAAGGAACTTGCCCAGAGAGAAGAAAAGTGGTGGTGGCTTTTTTTGGTCAGTTGTTTTTTGTATGCTTTTTGCTGTTTGTTGCTGTTACAGTGTTTGGGGTTTTTTTTGTTTGTTTGTTTGCTTGTTGTTTTTTTTCAATTTTTTTTTTTTCTTTTTAAAGCTAGCTGCAGGAGAAAATAATATTAAATCTGATCTACTCCCACACTTTATATAGGAAATACTCATTACATTCCATGTCCTAACTACCCCCTTCACTCACTGTGTATGAAAAGCCAGATACAACATTACTGTGATTACAGGATACGTCTTGCCAGAAGTTTTCTATTACTGATTAATCCAAGCAGACAGTAGAAGTTACTAAGCCTCAGTTTTATGAAAAGCTCCAGTTCATATAGCTTTACAAAACTTGGAATAACAAGGTTCCAACCACATTTCAATTAGTTAACCTGCTTAACTTTTTTTTTTTCTGCAGAACTATCCCAGATAAAGCCAAAACAAACCACTCTGAAGACAAGTCCCTTTGAATGTTTAGGTTTAACAATTCAGTACTATTCTTTTTGCTTCGCTGAACAGCAGAATTGCCTTTAACTTTTTTTCACTTTATATTCTGTAGTTGTCCAAGATACAGATCTCTAAGCCATAATTAAGCACTGCATAGCAGTGTTTGCTTTTCCTTGGAAGCATGGTTTTAACTCTTTTCAAAAACGTTTAAGGTTGACATTAGCATTAAAAGTCAGCCTTGCCAAAAATAGAATAGAAATTCAGCCCCCACAGAGCAACCAAAATCTCAAACAGTTTAGCGAATTTAAAAGCTTTATAAAACCACAGAAGGGAAGGGAATTATTTAAATTTGGTGCCAGTATTTAATCCTTACATACACACACCTTAGAGAAGATAAAAAACAAGGTAATCCATCTCCAAGGCTTACTGCAATTAATACTGTTATTTTTCAAAACAAGACTTCTTACGGTCATCATGCATTCTTTTGCCATTATGCAAAGCTCCTTTATGTATTTACTTCTCAATTGTCACTAAACCTTAACTCTTGACTTACTAAGTGGTTCAGTCCTCCAGGTTCTAAATATATATTGTGTTTCTACTTTTTCTGACCTAAAGCGGAAAACTTAAAATGTTGTAGCGGTTTTGATTGATTAGTTTTAAAAATTCCAGATTTCAAGCAAGCTAATTCATAGGAAATCACTGTACATGACTGTCAAACTGGTTCATTAAATGCACATTTCGTATGAGGAATTGTCATTACGCAAACTACACAGTATTTTAAGAGCAATTTGGTAATTTCCATTCATAATGCAGTGTCATGCTGTTCTATTTTAGATAATGAGAAGGGAAAGGTGAATCATGCACTACTGTAAACAGGTTTCATCACTGAAAACAGTTCAGCTATTTAGAAAAAGGTATTGACAGTTTTCTAACGTTGTATTTACCTCTTTAGAAGGGGATGCAGGAGATGTGAAAATTGTCTTCCAATAGGACCATATAAACATGAAAAATGACAGATGAAAAACCACAAGGTAGACAGCTGCAATAAAATACAGTAAGAGTTTGGTGAATGCACCTGAAAAGAACAAAAAATAAAACCACTGATCCTGGATGAGGCTTAAGCTACTATACTATGAATAATTTTGTAAAATTAAGTTAAAGGATATGGTGATTTTGTATTAAAACTCTCTTCACTGAGTAGACTTAGCACTCTAGGAGTACTCACTTTCAATCAATCAATTGATCAATCACAAAATGTGACAGTTGCTATTACTTAAGGAAATAATATGCTTTTTTGGGTATAATGCCAAAACAGATTTTGAAGGGGAAAAAACAAACAAACAAACCCCCAAAATGCAGAATTGAACACATCTTCACCTGTGGCATGTAAGTTACAAACCTTTTTTGATAAAGAAGATGAAACTATTCTAGATTCCAGTAAAGTTTTTGGTAACTGACCTGCAGAATTGAATTTAATTTGTACTTCTGTTAGAAACAGCACAGTATTGTGCCACTGCAGAAGGCACTGATCATCAGTGACAGTAAGAACTCAAAACCAGAGGTTTGGAGAAGACTGCAAGATGAGAGATAGCTGTAAATTAAAAATTTAGTATCTTCTTTCAAATCCAGGAATATCATCTGGAAGAGTCCTGCTATTAATAGTCACAGCGGAAATAAAATGTAGGTGGCTTTACTCACGAGCTCAGTCAATTTATAAATGGGTCTGTGTGATATGGTTGTATTAAAGACCAGACTTTACGACCATGGAAGCTTCTTCCAATATTGTTTCCTCCAAGTTTATTTTACCCCATGTCAAGAGGAAACAGATCAGTTGTGCCAGAATAGCAAGCTTTAGAACAATGTCATACTAAATATTTATATTATCTTTACTTATATTATCTTCAGTTGAAGGAAGAAGGAAACTTGACCTACTTTCCTGTGCACATAAAGAGTCCTTTAAGAAGCCGTGTGACATACTTCATGGATGACAGAACAGGCTCAAAACTTTGGGAACTTCAAACTGCTCAGAAAATGCTTGTGCACAGTCACTGAAGATGTGGTCTGAATGTATCATCTTTCAGGATTGTCATTGCTTGTTGCAGTAAAAACCCAAACAAACTGTATTTGAGCTTTTCTTCAGAGAATTTTGCTATTTACCTTTGCCTCTGAGTTCTCAAACTTTACAGACAGATTGGGCAAATTTTCAGCTGTCAAGCTGACTGAAAATACAAGAAGCAAAACCTTTTCTCTAAAGCCATCCTAAAACTGTCATCCTGATAGGAAAGGACTTATGTATTACTGTACTAGGCACTGCAAAATTAGAAATGGTATTTTATTTAAAACAGATTATACACATTCAAACATAATGCAGTTAAGCAATTAAAGCATGAGAAAATTGTTTTGAGGAAAGAAGGAACTGACACAAAATAAGAGTGGAATCAGCTGCACAGATCAGAGCTTTGCAGAAGAAGAGGGTGAGAGGAGTCAAACAGAAGGAAATAGGAAATGAGATACAGGGGAGGACAGGGCACAGCAAAACTAAATTACACAGTAAACAGCTCTGTTCTGTCCATAAAAATCACCACCAGAATTCAAAATTTTCTGAAGGATTATTATTTATTTGCACAGGCTGCAAATGCCCCAACACCACACAGAACAAGAGGCACCAAGGCTGCCAACAGCAAGGGTACAGATCTGTGCCAGTGTTACCAGTATTGACTAGAATGTGGCAGCAGCTAAAATGGTCATGCAGTCTTGCAATAACTGAGATCTCGTGATCTGCCACCATCATTAAAAGCCAAGAGCCTGTCCTCAGCAGCCAAACTGGAGCATCCAAAGGAAGAGTAAACCTTTCACAGCTGTTCCAGCAATGTGCACCATCCAGTCGGGAGGAAAAAGAGCCTACAACTGGAAGGCCATACTTGCCCCACACTGAATGAATTATTGCTTCTTTTCCCACTTCTGTGCTGCTATTCTGACTGCAATTACAGGTATCTGTCCTGCCAGTGTTCCCCAACAAATGAAAGGGATAAAAGATACAATTTTTGATTGCTTTACTTTGGCAGTCCATCTACCCTCTGTTTTGGGTAGCAGTAGTTCCTCTGCAGAATACTCCCTGAAGCATCTTGCATCCATTTCCAGTACAAATACAGACCAGCTTCATTACTATTCAGCTCATTTTCTTGTAATTACAAGGTAGATGGAAAAGACGTCAAAAACCCCAGACACCAATATGCGCCAGTTTAGCCATACTTAGACATGAGGAAGTCCTGGCTAAGCTAAGAGAATCCAAGATTCTTGGTGCCATACTGTGACTGAATGAAGTCACCTCTCTTTGAAGGCACTGATGCTTACTAGACCATAATTTATGTCCTCAGGAGGACAATGTCTTAAGACATGCTCTTAGCATCTTGCTAAAATATGCTAAGCCCTCCTAAGATTTTCCCTTAATATTCTTTCCTGAGTAATTGTTAACACTACTTCCACAACATAGATTACAGATATGTAATAATATACAACAAAAGCATACTATATTTTTGAGAGTTCAGCATTGACTTTATTCCCCAATGGATATAAATATAGACAAGAATATGAAATTACGAAGAAATGATTAGACTTAGTGGGGTGAAGAAATCACCACTTATTCATATACAGGTCAACAGTTAAAGCACAGCAGCAATCTGCAGAATTCTGTGAAGTCTAGGTGAAGCCCAGCTGTGCAACATGGTGTGAAAACCCAACGTAAGACACTGGTCCCATCTTGAACAGCTTTCAGTTTATTTTGGAAGTTTTCCCACTCTTTACCTCCTCTCTAGAGGATGAAAGAGGACAGATTCCATCCTTTTACAGTGTTTTTGATGTTCTCCACCAAGAAGAAAACTGCTAGATTAGATCCAAATTTCATGCCCTTTTACAAAAATATTTGAGAGATGAGACTCTCTTACTAGTGGTCGCATACTCTGAAGACAGTACTCTGTGGGTAGTTAAAATGCAAATCTATGCTTAATCTACCACTCCTGTCCCTCCATAAAGCAAAGTGAACTTCCAAACAAATTTCCCATTGACTATCTCTGTATTTCTAAAAAAAACCCCCAACAAACCACAAAAAACCCCAACTTTCTAAATTTCTGTATTTTGAACTTCTGGAAATGAGTCATCCTTTTAGCAAGCTTTTGTTCTCATTTAAAAGAAGTGGTAGAGCAAGAATGCTGGAATTTTTTGGTCAGTTTGTATCTCTGGAAGCACTACCCACTGTGGCATGTACTTGCAAAAGTCCATATGAAGACTTAAGTAAATAAAGTTTGTTAAAACAAGGCTTTAACCACTTCACCTAGAAATTAAAAATTATAACATGCAGCCAACTTTCAAACAGTTGTGTTTTGCACAGTTCTAACCAGTCCTAAAAGACTGGAACTCTGAGGATTTTATTAAACTGTTTGGAAAATAACAAACAGTAGAACAACAATTCCTCCTTTTCCAGAAGTCTTTCAGGTCACAAGGTATGTTCAGAAATATATAGAAAATGGACTTGTGGATCTGATGCAGTTCCTTCTCTCTTCTCCTTTTTCTGTTCTTAGAAGGGGCCTATTTAAAAATATTTGCAAACCTAAATCACAGCTGCATTATGTACAGTTCATGTCATCATCCCAAGCTTGTGGTATTAGAAGCTAAACAGACTCAACCTCACAATATTTTCCTTGTTTCTTAGCACTAGTTTACTCACTACACAGAGCTTACACATAACAGAGTACATTTAAGTTCTACCACCCTTAAGACTTGCATGCAACAAAACTACTTGCATCTTAAAAAAACCCAACAACTTAAAAAATTACCTTTTTCTGCAGTTGAAGAAATAGTAACTGGAAGAGAAGAAAAAAAAAAAGGGAAAGTAAATCTATATTGAATCAAAAGTTTGGCTAGAAGCGAGATACATGAGCTAGCTGATTTGTTACAAAATGTACTTCAGGTGTTAGTAGAGCCTCCCTAGTGTCCTCTCGGGTAAAACAGGAGTTAGTAATCCTACTACTAGTGCTTAAGGCTTGGTGAGTCAGTGGAAAAGCTGAAGAGATCCAGTTACCTGCACTAACCAAGACAGCACACTCCTTTTCACAGACATTAATTAGATCATAATTATGCATGTTCCCCTTCAGATACGTACCTAGCAAAGTTTTCTGAGGCATGCCAACAACTAGGCCATCAAATGTACCATAGGAAAGCAGAAAATGAAACAGAAGTAACTCTTATAGAAGTCCCCATGTAACCTGCTTCCCTCTTTTAGCTTTTTTCCCACCAATTCTCTCTTCTCATCACATGCTACTTTTTCTTTTTTTGGCCTGACCTGAATTGTTCAGGCATAGTTAAAACCTCTCCACTTCCTTCTCTCCCACATCCTCATCTCCTTTTATTCCAGCAGCAAATTCTATTGTTCCAATCCCCCTTGTATACTGCCTGACATCCTCCTGACCTCAGGCTTCTCCAAACCTTCACTCCTCATTCATCAGTTGAGGTAAGACTCTTGACTACACAGCCACTGCTCTTACTGGATCGCTTTGTTTGTATCACTCCCCTCACTGGATCTCTTCCTTAGACACTTAATTCCTAAAATTCAATGGGGAAAGGATCTTTTCCTGACTTTTCATTTTAGCACAGCAAATTTAAACTTCTGGTCATCAAGTGTGAGCAGATGGTTAACAGAGTCTACAGCAGTTCACCTCACTTCACATTGTCTTCTGTTTCTCAGCTCTGACATGTCTGCAATTATTAGCCTGCATGCCCGTTCAAAAGATCTTTCTCCCAATGCACACTAGAATCCACAGGGCTTCAGTACACACTGCAGACTTTATTCTGAAGGGTCACTTTTGTCACAGAGGTGGCATGTGTCTCACTTAAGATAACTATAGCAAAAGGGTCTGCAACTATATTATGCAACCGTGTTTCTTTCCATAGCGAACAAGAGACGTAATGAAGTGATACCTCAATGTACAGATAAACCCTTTTTGGTCAGGTATGTGGGGGTTTTAGTTTGGGGCTTTGTTTTTATTTTTCTTCCCCTCCTCCTTCCTTAAAATGCCTACCTGGCACCCTCTATCTGTTCATAGAAACCCCTATGAAATTCTTCCTTCCACCCAAATAAAGAAGAAATTACCATTTAGAATAGAACAGGGTTGCCTTCAAACTACAGGAGGTCAAGCCTAAAGAACAGCTTTCACATTAGTTATGCACATTTGCACATCCTCCTCCCATGTTTCTGTCTGAAACAGGAAGACAATCCACACAGAAAACCAGACCTGAAGCACACAGTTACCTGCAAAGTATGCATGTAACTATGAGAAAGTCCATTTGTGTCACGATCCAGTGTCAGTGCTACTCCACTGCATGCTACAGAAATAACATTATTTTTAAAGCAAATCCTATGAGTGTTTTTGCTTGAAATATTACTAGTCTGCTATTTTCTAGTTAAAACTTTTTCAACAGCACAAGGAGAAGATAAAAAACATTAAAAGGGTGAAAATTAAAAGAAGCTTGCTGAGTTGGGTTCTTCCTTGACTTATTAAAAATACCAGAAATACTTTAGATTCAGCTTTGTCTTTGGCTCCTCATATATCTTAAATAAATACCCCTGAACAGAGCTGGACAAACATGTATTTCCCAAAAGAAGAAATGTAAAGAAGTTCTTAATTATTCTCTAATGGGATGGGAGAACATTGCTATCCATACAAACATAGGAAATTTTTTTTGTATAATTCTAGTTAAAGCACTGCATAATCTTCAGCCTCATTTCTGCTCTTGTTACAAAAATGAAAAAGGGGAACCAAACTTGATGTTTGAAGATGCAAAATAATGTACAGCTTTACATGCAGGAAAAAGGCTTAAGATGATATCCCTGGTAAGACTTAATCAAAAAGATCCCTAAATAAACTTCATGAACATTAATTAAAGCTTCACAGTACCAGGAAGATGATTTTCTCTTTCGTACCGATGTCCCTTAGTTCAGAGTGCAGTTATTACTGTGCAGAACAGTTTTAGTTTGGCAAACTCCTGCAGCTTGAGGTAAAAGCCAACAGTGAAACACTTGTGATTTCCACCCTGACTCATTATCCTCAAAATCAAGATAAAAGATGGCCAGCTTTCTTCTGCATCAGACGGAAGTCGTGGAAGTAGTTTCTGTTTCTCTCCCTTTCATTGCTGTTAGTCTCATTGTCAGACAGATTAACTGAACAATACTCCTACTAGTGCTCTTTAACTTGGCCATCTTAGATGACAAGCAGAAATCCCAGGTTTGACTTTAACAGAGGAAAAAGTTGTCATAGTTTTGATTTAGACACCTAGCACCACCCCTGGCAGCAAAGACACTTTTTCCTTCATTGTTTATTACACCTATTTGTACAGAGCCTTCCTTATATTGTTGTCATCTCACCTATGTCACAAGAATGAAAGAGGCGGAAGCCTATAGATTACAGGTTATCACAAGATACAAGCCTGCAGACATAGGGATATAATTAGTTGTGTAACAAATGAGACTGGGGGGGAAATGTCATTTGTTGGAAGCATTCTTCTTAGAGTATGAACTGACAGAGGTGCACGTTTTGGAAGACTTTGGAGAATGTCTAAAGCTACTTCAAGGAAACCTCCCAAAACATCTTGGAAGAACAAGTATACTTAGGGAACTGGTTTGCTTTCAGTTTCAGGCTTATTTTCAGGATTGCTATGAAGTGCTGAAGCACCTTCCAAATCACTGTGTAATAGGAAAAGAATCCAAATCTCTCTATTCTGAGGCAAAGAGGTGCAGTTATCTGCCAAGACCCTGCAAGAGACATGCTAAAAGACACAGTTGTCTTCAACTTTGGAAGAAAAGAACCCCACCATTACAAAAAACCTACACAAGACATCTTCCTACTTGCCTAAAAGGCATATTCCAATCAAACTAGATATGCTCCTTGAAGAGCAAGAAATTAAACTGCAACAACTATAGAAACATTGAAAAGAACTGGCTCATTACTGATGTGCCATGTTTATCTCCCCCTGTCCTGTACCATGATGGCTCCCGGCAGCCGCCTCTCCATGAATCTCAAGAGTAACATTCACGTTTTGGCTGACATTCCTCATAGGTGGGAAGAAAGTGAAAAATGCGCAATTTCATCCCTTCACCAGATGTACAGCCTTAGCTTTTCTCAGCTTTTAAGGAAAAGGGTTAAAAATATATAGATGTACACGCATACACACACACACACATATTTCCAGAACCTACCAGTACAGAAACTCTCCACAGGCACTGCACTATCTGCAAAAGGAAGCACCATTGACATTATCCCGGTACTGGGACCGGTGTTGTTCAACATCTTCATCAACGACCTGGATGAGGGTACAGAATGTACCCTCAGCAAGTTTGCTGATGACACTAAGCTGGGAGGAGTGGCTGACACACCAGAAGGCTGTGCTGCCATTCAGAGAGACTTAGATAGGCTGGAGAGTTGGGCAGGGAGAAACCTGATGAAGTTCAACAAGGGCAAGTGTAGAGTCTTGCATCTGGGGAAGAACAACCCCATGTACCAATACAGGTTGGGGGCTGACCTGCTGGAGAGCAGTGTAGGTGAAAGGGACCTGGGGGTCCTGGTAGACAGGAGGATGACCATGAGCCAGCAATATGCCCTTGTGGCCAAGAAAGCCAATGGCATCCTGGGGTGTATTAGAAAGGGTGTGGTTAGTAGGTCAAGGGAGGTTCTCCTCCCCTCTATTCTGCCTTGGTGAGGCTGTATCTGGAATATTGTGTCCAATTCTGGGCTCTTCAGTTCCACAAGGACAGGGGACTGCTTGAAAGAGTCCAATACAGAGCCACAAAGATGATTAAGGGAGTGGAACATCTCCCTGATGAGGAAAGGCTGAGGGAGCTGGGTCTCTTTAGCTCAGAGAAAAGGAGACTGAGGGGTGACCTCATCCATGTTTACAAATACGTTAAGGGGGAGTGTCAGGATGATGGAGCCAGGCTTTTTTCAGCCATGTCCAGTGATAGGACAAGGGGCAATGGGTGCAAACTGGAGCATAGGAGGTTCAAGGTGAATATCAGAATTTTTTTTTTTACTGTGAGAGTGACAGAGCCCTGGAACAGGCTGCCCAGAGAGGCTGTGGAGTCTCCTTCACTGGAGACATTCAAAACCCGCCTGGACGCATTCCTTTGTGATGTACTCTAGGTGACCCTGTTCTGGCAGGGGGGTTGACTAGATGATCTTTCAAGGTCCCTTCCAACGCCTAGGATTCTATGATTCTATGATTCATTTGTTCAGAGAATGGCACTGAATTGAAAGAACAACTTAGATTTATGATAACGTAATTCCCATTTGCAAACATAGACCTTAATAACTCCCAAGAAGATGGTAGAAATATTACTGACACAAGTGGAACAGACAATGAGAGAATTTCCTTGAGCAAATACTCATTTGACTTCTGTTACAGGGCAGCACCACAGCATGATGACCTTAGCACCTCTTACTGTTCTCAAAAAGATGTAATTCTATGACCTTTCCACACTGAGCTATTTCTTGTTTCCTGACTGGCAGGCACCCACTAAGTGCTTTACTCCCTGAGCAGCAGGGAGTTGTTTTTAGACAAATGACTCAAGATGAGTGAGCTGACAGCATCACATAGCCAAAAGCCAACGCAGGAAGATGCTGCCAGGTCCCTGCCAAATGGCTATGGGGGCCCAGGAATTGCACACATGACTTGCCACCAGCTAGAATGAATGTCCTCTGCAGAAATTTGAGCAATAGGAGCCTAGAAGAGTTTTATCATCACATGGTGCTAGAATGATGAGGGTTTTTTTCATCCAGATCTCCAGGAATATGACACAAGGTTCCCCCAAATGCACTAATGGGTAATTTAGAAAGTAACATTTTATAAAATGGTGAGGCAGGAGAGGTGGCTCCACAGGCCTTAACACTGCACTGGCTGGAAGAAGAACAGATTGCCACACAGTGTGCCCCAGTAAGCACTGCCTGGGGCTGGCCTGCAGCATGGGTGCACCATTGCTAACATTGTCTAACACAATGCTTGCCTCAGAGGCATGACCTGTGCTGGACAACTCTTGCTGCTGGGGCGTACGAAGTTACCTCTCTTAACCATCTAACCACTCTCCTATGGCAGACAAACATAACAAAAGTGAGCACTCCCCTTCCCAGACATTTCAGGTCAGGTTTTATCTACCAGTGAAGACACGTGGATGACATCACAGCAGGGAATTGCAGTGATTAAGAGTGAACAGCAGTGAATGGCCTCTCCCTGTCCTGGGTTGCGCACAATCAGTCGTAAGAAGGAAAAGAAACCCTGCCCAGGCCACTGATGCCTTAAGGCAGTGTGGCCATGAGCTAGAGCCCAAACTCCTCACACACTGCACAGCAACACCACTTGAGTGCGCTACTTTCTGACTTCAAGTGATCATAAGCTGATGCCTTTGAAGGCACAGAAGGGAATGTTGCAGGGAGGTAAATCTGGAATGGGAAGAGAATGGAGGAAAAAAAAACAATGCTGCCAGGAAGAGACACCTTGCTGCAAGGGGGATGCTCTGATGTTTGCAGCCATGAGATTTTCTATGCTCACGATCACCATGCCTATTGCTACAAGATTCAAATAAGCATTATCACAGAATTAGGTAAAATTAATTAATATTTCAAACAAGGCAGTTCAAGCTGTACTGCAGACCTTTTTTGTTATTTGTTACCAGCCATTGTTATGATTTGTTCTATGGCTAAAACAATATTAACACAGTTCTTTCACTATAAAAAGTAATTTAAAGCAGCCAAAGGCTTGCTGCCCAGAAAACACAGGCTTGCTTCCCTTATCACAATAATAAACAAGTTTTTTATTTAGCCAAGGTCTTTTCAGCCTCACTGCAGAGATTATGTGCATAAATACAAATAGAGTTACAGTAGAAATTGGCATAATCAATTCAAGATATTGGGTATTGAGTTACATTTAGTGATGAATTAAGCTATGACAACTGAAAAGATTTCTGCTGTATAACCTAGGAACAGTAAATTCTGTGCTACCATTTTGTCATCATTTGACTCAAGTTGACAACAATGCTCTTGAACTCCTCCCCCTCCCACCCAGGTAGGGAAGGAGAGAGAAAATTAGCAGAGATGCTCTGGATTGAAAACTAACCTACACAGCTTTAATTAAACACTAATAATGAAAGAAAATATATACAATTTTATACAAATATGTTCAGGAAATGTACAAAACCCCTACTGCCTACCCCTACACCCAGCATTTCCTGAGCTGTGAACAGTCCCAACTAGTCCTGGAGCTGCTGGAGAGAGCGCAGTGATGAGGGTCAGGAGAGCTCCAGCCTGGGGCTGGTGGTGATGGATGGATGGAATCCTCCCTGGACACCTGTCATGGATGGAAAAGAAGGGAAGAAGAAGCAGGAAGGAAGTTGTCTTCTGTGACCTCTGACCTTCCTCTGAGATTACGTAGATATATGGAATGGAATATCTCTGGCCAATTTTGCTGCCTGTCTAACTCAGCCTCCTACAGGGGGATCATAGATCTCCCAGCAGTGTCTGAGCTGGCAGAGCAAAGATGTGACCTTGGAGTCCCAACAGTTAAAAAAACATGGCAGCTGTTATCAGTCTTAGTTGGAACACTTTGATACTAGTTAAAAGAAAGCTTACTGAAGGAAAAAAATATCAGTAAAAGTGTCTTCATCCTGGCTTAAACCAGGACAAACTTCCACAGTTCAAAAACACAGCTATGATGGCAGCTGACTTCTGAAAACCACAAAACCATACAGATGCTTCCTTACCTCCTCCTCCACAACATATTCTTGAAAGTTATACCAAAGGTCTCGTATTGGTCTTCCCACTGAGGGAGCCTGCATATTTTAAATTATTTCAAAACCAAGAGTTACAATGAGTTAGTGTGCGAAGGAAGTGTTGCCACGTCCTAACCTCTCAGTCCCACACCTGTGTCAGCACTAAGAACTGTATGTATTCAGACATGTATCAGCCCAAATAACTAAAGGCTTTTTCTGCATAGTTAGCATTCAAGTTAGCATTCAGCTGCAGCAGTGTACCAGATCTATTTTCCCTAAAAGCCTTATTCCCTGAGAAGCACTATTCATTTTCAATTTATCATAATTGCTGTAAGAAACCTAACGTAATTTGATTTTCTTCAGCTTTTTAATCACTATTGCCACTGCTCATTCTATTTTCATTTGGACGGATTTTAAACCTTAGCATTACTCCTACATACTTTCACTCAAGTTATTGGACTTCCTTCATTCAGTTCTTCCCCCAAAATTCTCTATCATAATAATAACAGCTTAATACTTCACTAGTTTGGAAATGCTGCACATAAATTGTTTCCAATATTGCCATTAAGCTATCAGACACAGCCAAAATAAAGCCTGGTTTCTTCTTGAAAGACAAGGAGAGCTCTTACTGAAGTGATTTGGTGAGCTGAGCAACCTCTGGCACATTGGGGAATAGGAAAAAACAATTGGCAGAAAGGCCTGGAAACTCAGAAGCATCTGAGTGGAGCTAGCTTATGTCCACACCACTAATTAATTACATTTACATTTGAAGGAGCAGTATTTACACTCAGGCTGGCTAGATCAAGCTCACAGTAATGCTACACTCAAGCACCCAGACATGTGAAAGGGCTTTTGTGTGAGAAGTAACTCCAGTGGTTCTGTAGTTAAGACACTGGTAGTACATTTGGAAGAGACAGGAGAACAACAGGATAATCAGCTGGTGTTGACATAGCTGCATGGAGTTGTCTTCTACACCCTGCACAAGAATAGGTGTTCTACAGGTAATATTAGAAACACTCAATGTATTTGAAGTATAAAACCAAAACAAAAAACCCACACCCAACCAAAAACCAACAACATATAATTAATTTTCATAACATATTTTTTCAGGTAATTAAGGAATTACACTTTCTTTTTGCAAAAAGAACACTTTCCACTAATCCATGGTTGTTACTGCCAGTCAATATCTGCCTTGAATATTAAGGTCACTCAAAGCTGAGTGTCTTATGGCTCAGGAGGCTATGAGTAAATCCATTTACTTCTACTCTAGGCAGATGAAAAGAGTGCAATAACCTTTACTTATCTATTCCACACAGCTGTGAGGAATGATGGCAGGAGAGCAGAGGTGTCAATTTGTGGGGAACAAAAAATTCCAGACAGCTCCTGTGACTGGCAGACAAGAACTCAGTGGTGAGAACCATCTGCTGATAGC